TGTAACAGTATAAATCTTGAGAACTTTTTATGTTATCTTCAGCATAATTTTCTTTCACATATAACATCCCTTGAAGATGATAGAAGGAGATGCAATCACAGAAATGAGAACAGCTGCTGCATCTGCTTTAGCTACAATGGAACTGCACCCTGTTTTGGGTAATTATAATATTGGTCAATTGGTTTTCATCATACAAACTTTCATGACGGAATTTCACTTTATTATTATTATTTTCATGTTTTTGAATGACAGAAGCAAAATCTCTTTTTTCCTTCTTATTCCTTACACATTTTAGCCTTCTTTCAATTAGTGCATTTCTATATGAGAAGCACTTTTGTATGAGAAATAATGTTGGTCTCTCATCCATGTGAAGAAAGTGAGGCACACCATGAAATTGTAGCTGTGCTTGGGGCTGGTAAGCAGGCTTGCGTCCATGCACAAGTAATGGCTCACTGCTACAAAGGTGCGAAGGTAAGGATTTTACTTGAGGTAAAGAGAAGTTACAAAACAATGTCTGTCTAGAACATCCCATAAACAGATAAACCAGTTGGAAATATGTTAGATATAGTTGATGTTGAGGAAATATGTTATGAACAAATGGCCTTCCTATATATCTAACCTTATTTAGCTCAGGATAGGTAATACCATATCTATATTACTAGATTCGAATCTGGGCACGGAGGCCTGAAGCTGCTGAAGCTTTGGTACTACAGTTACGGTCAGAGGGTATTTGTGCTGAATCATCAACTACAGTGCAAGAGGCTGTGAAAGACGCAGATATCATTAACATTTGTACCGGAGCAGCTATCTCAATCCTGAAGGGGGAATGGGTCAAGCCAGGAGCCCATGTGAATAGTTAGTTACCTTAAGTTATCTGTTTCAGATAAATGTTGAATGTTAAACTAATTCTTGCTAAAATGTCATGTCATGTTGCTTAAATCTTGATACTGATCATTTCATGCTCATTAAAGTATCTGTCATGGTTTTAATTTTTGCAGTAATGATATACAATGAACTGTAGTAGGCATTGAATAATAATATATAGTAACATCTTCCATCTCTTAATCAACCCATAAAGTGCTGAATTGATTCTTCATTTCCTCATGGTATTTTGGTATCTTTAAGGTATTGGTGCTCTTCGTCCCAACTGCCAAGAAATGGATGAAGCACTAGTCAAAAGTGCAACCATTTATACTGATAGCCGTGAACAAGCCCTTGCTGGAGCTGGTTTGTTTTCAATTTATTTACTTTTTTCGACATTCAGAAAATTTGAAGCCTGTCTATACCAATATCAAAAAGAAGTATCTGTATGTATATATAATCTTATAAACATAAAAAGTTTGTTCTTGATGTTACTAGTATGCAAAATTTCTTCACTATAAGCACTAATATCATAATCAAAATGAAGAAAACTGTGAATCAAATTGTAAATCAAAACATACTGATTAATGAAATGAATTTAGTTCTTTTTTGGAAAAGATTCTGAACATAAACATCACAAACCAACCAGTACAATACAATAAAGAGAGATAAATCATAAACAAAATAATTTTATGATGGTAATATCAATCATACAATAATTTGATATCTATAAAGCTGAATTACTTAATTTGACTGAATTATTTAATGCTGTAATTACTTCTCAGGAGATATCATTAAAACTGGGGCGACAATCACAGCAGAAATAGGTGAAGTGCTCCTCGGTCAACATGCACCACCGAAAAACTGCACGACCATCTTCAAGTCTCTTGGTAAATATAGCTAGCTTTTTATTTTTTGTCTTCTTTGCCACAAGAATTGGGTTATTAATTTTAGTATATTGGGATGAATGTGCAGATATTGTACTTGAAGGATTTCTGTGTTTGAGAAAGTTTTACTTATATTTTCATCCATCATTTTCCATCAGCATAATAGTACAGGTTAGGTGAACCTTTTTGTCTCTTGTTTGATTACTTTTCAAGAAAATTATTGCTTTGATATGGTTACAAATATTATCAGAATATCCTAGTTTAATCTTTGTCGTATATTTTCTTTTAGAAATTTGTTTCCATACATCATACATCCTTAGCTTGAGACTCTATAGCTATGATTTTTATTCAAAATTGACGTTTGATATTTGATACTTGAACCAATCAAAGTAATATAATCAGAAGTTGACAACTAATTAATAATGCATGATTTTTATAATGAAACTGAACTTTTAAACAAACTGTTAAACTCATGAAATCTCCCACAGGACTAGGCGTGCAAGATAGTGTTTGTGCTCGGTTGGTTTATGATCGTCTATTGGCAGAGACGGAGTGATGTTCCTAATTAAAGATTTGAACCACAATCGTTTAGGTTAATGCTACTAGATGATAAATAGTAAAAGGGTAAAGTAAAGTTTTGAATAAAGTTAAGTTTTGAATAAAGTTAACACAATTTTGTCTGCTGTTGGAAATTATTTATATTTTGTAGATTATATTGAGGTAGATACTGTTCTGAACTATATTGGTATGATACTAATAAACTTATTTTTGCATTTTTTTTGTGTACATGAAATTGGTGATAAAAACATTAATTTGTATAAAATAATGCAAATCAATTATAACTATGAGTGTACTATACATGGGAAAAGAAAAAGATAGAAAAAAAAGTGACAGTTGATATTATACAATTAATCAATTTTGAAAATACATGCCATGGGCACTGTGATTTTAGCTGATGAATTATCCTTACACATAGATGGCTCCACAAGTCACCGAGAAGTACATTACCTCTGTTAAGGATCCAAAATTCAAAAAAGGGAAAATCATCTGAGGTCACTTTGGACTAATAGTTGACTCCAAAAACTACAGTGGACAGTATGCATCCTTGCGTACAAAGGGCTAAAGTGCTTTTTAGTGTTTGTATTGTATCTCACATGGCAAGGCAGTGATCAGAAAAATGCGCGTGGTCGGTGTCAGAAATAATACGTAATGTGACATGTTAGCAGAAGCTTAAGTATCTGGTGCTAGGGTGCTATTAATAAGACCAAAAAAAACAAAACATGGTAGAAGATCATATGCACCTTTGAAATAATAATAATAATAATAATAAAAATAATAAAGTAATAGTTCCTCATTTATGTTTATTGACTTTATAATGCCTGAAATACAATCTTCATTCTTCAAGCAGGGTATACATATAATACTGTAATAAGGCAACAATTTTTTAGTTCTTATACAGAATGGCAATACAAAAATGCCATGTCCTTCTGGTCCCACAATACCAAAGGGACCACAAAAGATTAAGATAAAAGATAGAAAAGTTTGAGATAAAAAAGACAAAGACAAAATCTCACAGAGAAAATATTGAAAATTTGAAAAATTGAAACATTCCACTATGTTTCAAATTAAAAACATTGCTTGGTTCATTTGGATTAAAGATAAAAAGTGATGAAGCATATGTTGGAACCTATAAAAATGATGAAAGTAATTCTAGTACTAAAAGCTATGCACAACTAATAATGGACTTTTACTCTTGTTTTCAAACTGTATTAATATAACAGAAAATATTCTTTTTTGGCAGTAGGTGTTTGGACACCTCAAAAAAAAGTCAAAATCTCAGAATGTGCAATCATTCTCATTTGTAAAACCCCCATTCTTATGAGTAATGTTAAACTGCATTAAAATGATTCTATGTGAATAAATAATACAATTTATTGGGTCATTTGTGAACAATGGATCAGAAAGCAAGTTCTGTTGACTGTATATCTCGGTTTTGACCACCAACTTATACAATGCTGGAACAGATAATGGTCTTTTGCATTACTAAATGAATGAGATAAACTTACTACTATATATACAGGATATACTTTCCAGGTCCATGTTATGTTAGAATAAACAAGTAACATTCTAACCTGTATCCTGCCTCATAAAATGGAAATCAGAATTCCATCTTAAACTTCTTGAGATCCCAAGGAGATTCAGGTTATGAAGCAGTACCTCTCACATCACTAACATTGTAACGGAGCAATGAAAATGGATACAAGTTATGGTTGTTTTAGATAACAATGGGGATTGTGACAAATTAGAATAACAGCACTGTGCACACCACATTGATGACATCACACTGAGACAACTTCTATATTTGCTATTTCTGTATCAGCTATAACTACCTTATTCTGTCACAGGTCCCAAAAACTTACACAAAAGCTAGGAGTTTTACTATTAAAAAAGACAATGAAGCACATGCAAATATACTAAATATGTAAAAGCTTCATTTTTTCTTCTTCTACAAGTCAGGAAAACAGCGAATCATCCTTGCATAGATATCACAAAGGTACAATCCTAAGAATGATAACTGGAGAGTGTAAAAGGGGCTTGATATAACACAAAAGTAAATCCTGGTACACATACATGTATATGTATATAAACATATATACAGACACAAATACACATATCATCAGTATGTTACTTCCTTGTCTAAGAATATATAGTTAACTACATAATTTTACCCTGCAAACAACAATGAGGCAAAAGGCAACCCAAGTGCAGTGCAATTTATTTCTCTCTTGTGATAACATTGAGCTAAGGGAGGAGGGAGAGAGGGAGGGAAGGAGGGAGAGGGAAAGCAGTGAGAGAAGGAGGGAGACAATAGAGAGGAAAGAAGGAGAGGAGGAGGGAGAGAGGAAGGGTGAGGGGTAAGGGGTGAGGAGGAAGGGAGAGACAGAGGGAGAGAGGGAAAGGAGGAGAGAGAGAGAGAGAGAGAGAGGAGGAGAGAGAGAGAGACGAGAGAGAGAGAGAGAGAGAGAGAGAGAGAGAGAGAGAGGAGAGAGAGAGAGAGAGAGAGAGAGAGAGAGAGGAGAGAGAGAGAGAGAGAGAGATGAGAGAGAGAGAGAGAGAGAGAGAGAGAGAGAGAGAGAGAGAGAAGAGAGAGAGAGAGAGAGAGAGAGAGAGAGAGAGAGAGAGAGAGAGAGAGAGAGAGAGAGAATACACATAGCTGACATATATCCACATACAGATTCCATATATCTCTGAATCTACACTGCACAGATGGGTATTACCTCTGAGGTGTTTTCCACTAATTAGTCATAGGTTACACAGACATCAGACTTTCCTAACAAATTGTGCATCAAACACTACTCTTTAAAATGTCTGACAATTAAAAAACAAATCTTATATATATCTCATAAGTTTCTTGACAATTTGGCTTACTTAAGTTCTTGAGATAAACAGACTGTATAAATCATGATTTCATATTAACACTTAAGTTCTTGAGATAAACAGATTCAACAAATCATGATTTCATATTGTCATTTCTCATTTAAATTTCAGATTTCATTTAAAAAAATCAAATCAAGTAACAGAACTTACTCAAAAAGACACTTGAATTTCTTTTTTTTCAAAATTATGAAACTCACTAATATTTTTTTGTTCATTATCAACAATTTGGCTACCCTATGCATGGTCCCCTTATACATCTGTTACTTCCTGCCAGGAAGGACAGAAGCATTAACTATACCTGTTACTTCTCCTTAAAATCTTCAGAGAGAAAGGAGAGAAGATGAGTAGGGATTTTGGTGAGCCTGTTTTATCCATTAAAGAAGATATGACAATTTGCCTTCTTTAGTATATGTGCACAGTGAATGAAATGTGACAAGTCTTAAAAAAGTGTAAATATAATAAATATCAGAAATAACAAGAGTTATAGTTTCTCATGCACATGAAGCTTTGATCTTTGTCAACTTTTAAAGGGTTTAGCTTCAAAAACAATCGTTAACCCCTATAAAAATTCAATACAGGGATCCCCGTTATTCGCCATTTCACTCTTTCGTCACTGAAGTTTTGGAGATGCATTGTTAATTGTGTTTCACTCTTCCATTGTTATAGTTCTTAATGTTTATACAGATTGTCCACAAACATATAAGAAACTACTAGGAAACAAAAAAAAAAGGAAAAAAGCTAGAATGTGAAATGGAATATAATTCCAGAATTTGTATCCATGTACCAAAAAATGAAAGTTTATGTGCACTGCTAATGAGACCTACAGTGTACATGAATAGTACATATCCACATTCCAGCCACCAAAACAGGCTAATGCTGCCACATCAGTACACTCTCAGGCACTTTTGAGTGGTAATGTTGATTTACCTCCTGGATTCATCAGTGAATAACGGCTCAGGCAAACTCACCCAAGCTCCCCTAAACTTAGACTTTGTGTTGATGCTAGATAAGAAGATGGAAATAATAAAATGGACTAGAAATGGTAAACATGCAGCTGCTATATGGCAATTTAACAGCAACATCCAGATTGAAAATGAAGATAGGATGTCTGACGTAAAAAGTGATGATCTTCTCTCACCTACTTGTCCATAGCTTGCCCCCCCCCCTCTTGTTGTAGCCATTATTCTTTATAGTATTATTTTCAGAATATACGAACCTTAGCAAACCACTGGATATTATGGCCCTAGTCCCCATTATGATCTATAATGTAATCCTATGTGATATTGTGAATCACTATTCATTTAATTATTTGATGTATTTTTCTGGTTCGCATTAACAATGAGTAACGGGGATCCCCTGTTTATTTTTGGTATACCCTAATAAAATTAACTACATTTCCATATATTTTGCGTGCTCAAAAAAATAACAAAGGAACATGTCCTAATCCCCTTAGGAAAGACTTAGGCCTCTCTCATGGTATCCCTGATAAATAGACAGAAAGAAGAAAGAAGAAGAGCGAGACATGGAGAAGGAATGTGAGTCAGAAGGAATATAATTTTTTCATTCTAGTTTTACGTGGTTCAAATACGCTATTTCAAAGAGATGTCACACATCGAAAAATTATTCCAAATTATTCCATTAAGTATGCCCTTAGAAATTTAAAAAATAAGAAAGAAAGAAGAATAGACAAGCATGATTTTTTTAAAAACTATACATTTTCCATGACCCTATTTTTCATATTTAGTCCTTAGAAAACAACAAAAAATTCCCTATCTTTCAGCTTTTTCAAATTTGGCAACCAAAACCCAAGTACACACCAAAAAACCTTATCTAATGCTAATTTTGTAAAAAAAATCCCCCCCCCCACTTTCAATCCAAGTCTATAAATCCTAAATCAGGATGTTACTGGATAGAGGTAAGATACAGTTGAAATATTGAAACATTGAGAATAATGAGAAAACAAAAAATCCGAAAAAATTTCACTCGAAAGAAAAAATATAGTACGACTGGATAATAAAACAAGATTAAAACCAAAATTTTAAATCTCAAAATTGTAAGTTACGAAAAAAATATCTTATAAATTTATGTCTTTCACATCTGCGACAATATGGTCATAACTATATAACTCACAGGTTCCCAAAACATTTTGCGACTTCAAATATAGAACCAACAGAATATCACTGAATCCATACAAAAGTAACATTCATTAAATATAATGATAATAATAACAACAATTAATAATAATAATAATGATCATAATAATAACAAAAGTGAACAATAATAAAGATACTAATAGTAAAACCATGAAAGATTATAACTCTGATCAGAAATGAAAAGACTAGACAAAATCACACACTACTTTTTATCACAAATGATACTGAAGAAAGTTCTTTGGAAATATAAGGGAGAAAAAATATCCTGCCCTTTCCAGGATCTTATAATATTTCTATGTACATTGTTTTTATGTCTGAAATATAAAGCCACAATTTACGTAATTTGTACTGAGTGGCAGGATGACAAAGAAGGAAATATCAATTAACTAACTTTTGCACTGACATCTTCATTAAGAAAAGAAGAAAAAGAAAGAAAGGAAGAAGCAAAGTAAAAGTGAAACAAGTATTCTTGTCAAATAAAAGAAGAACATATATTCCCATATACAATGACTAAAAGTTAGATCCACAAACTTTGTTCTAAAAGGAATACACACTCCACAAACACGTATGGACAAGCACAGACACACACTCACACACTCACTCACATTATCTTCCTCACTCTCTAAAAAGTGAGAGATGCAAATCATCAAAAGGAAAAGTGCACAGCACAGCATGTGTTGCATAGCTCTCTTGAAAGAATTAAATCAAATGTCCATACCTCTTAGTACATGATAATATATGCATATATTACAATCAAAGGTGCTAAGTACACAAGCCTTTTCTGATGCATTAAATGAACATTCATCCGCAAATCTCTCTGCAGAATATAATGTAGGCAATAAGATTTTTATGGTTAAACTTCTTAGTGTTCACTGGATGGACCAACAAATAAGCGTAAACATAATATTCTTTTTTTTTCTCTTTTTTGTGGTAACACATTGCAAAGTATTGATATTCAGCTGAAATATTGTGTAAAGTATCTGCTCACTCATTAAGCTACTACTGTCAATAATTTCTCCATCTCATTCCAGTTGGCATTTATCTTAAAAGGCTATCAAACAAACAACTTTCTTGTTCATCATCATAGCAAATGACATACAACATTTTTAAGACAGTTTCATTCAATATCTTCTTTCCCTAAATCCATCTCATATCTATTTGTCTCACCTAAGAAAACATTTCTTTTACTAGCATTCTAGTGGAGCATTATAAATATTCTTCCTGTATAAAAAACAATCACAGATTGCTAATTGATAATATTTTTCAATTTCAAGCCTTAGCCTAATATACAAAGAGGTTTTTGAAGTAGAATGGTTTCTTTGGTTTAACTGTCATGGTTTAGAACTATCTAACATGACATAAATTTTTCAAGTAATAATCTCTGCCCTGATGTGTGAAAAAAACAAACACATTACTATATCTGGCATGTAATGAATATGCTTTAATTCTGCATGATTTGTGTGCAGTTCCTATAACTAAGAATATCATAAATAAAAATTATACTGAACCAGTATAATAGTTCACAGTCTTCATTGAAAATACACTAAATATTCTAAAGAATGAAATAACAATATCTACAATTTCTAAAAAACAAATGGCATGAATAAGTACAAACACTGATAAGAAAACAACAAAACCAAGGATGATTAAACAAGGAAATTGGAAATAACAAATAACATAATTCTTCCATTTATTATGCCACTCTTGGTTTTGGTAAAAGGTGTTGAGAATCAGAGTACTGAAGGAGAACTTTTAATTTCAAGAGCAAGAAATATAAATGGCGCATTTTGAAGTTTATGTCTTTATCAGAATTATCTTATAATTCTGATAAAGATAAAACACTGAAACAGGTCAATTACATCTCCTGTGCAGTTATAAATTCTCATTCATACCTCTATCACAATGTACCCTATTTGACCATTTACTTCCAATTGTATTTTTTTCCGTCTGAGATGCCAAGACTCTAACCATTACTAAACACTTATCCAATTTTAACCTTCCTGACATCACTTCCCTAACAAACTAATACAGCTTTCAGTGACGCAACTTATTGGTGACCCATACCCCTTTGTATGGTTTACTCCTTGTTTCATCCTTACACCTATGCAAGGCTGATCTTGAGTGGATCAACAGACATAAGTATGTTCTCATACCTCTTGTCTCATATTAAATGCCTGGCAAGAATAGCATATTTTGGTCTAGTAGTCACTTTCTGAAGGGATGATAATGTACTTAATTCACTTCTCAGTAAAGTCACATTTTAAACGAATACAGAAGCACAAAATATATAAAGAATACAGTATTAATTTTCCCATAACATTCTTCCCTACCAAAGAAGAACTACAAACATTACCGAGAGAGTAATAGAAAAAAGTTAACCAGTAAGTACGGAGTCCAACATCATCTACTTAGCATGCATCAGAGTGATATAAAATTATAAGAAAGACAATAAACATGTGCATATACTACAAATGTATATATATAAGTGTATGTGAATGGATATGTGTGGGCATGGGTATATGTGTGTGTGTGTGTGTGTGTGTGTGTGTATGTGTGTGTGTGTGTGTGTGTGTGTGTGTGTGTGTGTGTGTGTGTGTGTGTGTGTGTGTGTGTGTGTGTGTGTGTGTGTGTGTGTGTGTGTGTGTGTGTGTGTGTGCGCACGTGTGCGTGTGTGCGTGTGACATGTAAAACAAATGAAAAGCAAGGCTTTGGTACTTTTCTTTTGTTAAGATTATTTTTCCTTATAATATTCTAATTTACTTACAAAACATAAATGAAAGCCAAGTATATTACAATCTTCATGCTATACATAATCTGGAAGCTCGCTACAAATGGACTTTTTTCAAATGTAACATCTACATCCTGGTGTAAAAACACTTTCTTTTTTTCCCAAAACACATCAAAAAAAATATTTGATAATACAAAAATGATAAATTCATAAAATCAGTATATAAATAAAAATCAGCACGTCACTTCTACAAAATCTCCAGAGAACACACTGTATCCTGAAAAAATTCCTTGATCAGTACAAAATAGTCTGATTTTTAAAGGAAGAAATGGACTGGTAGCTGTTTTTAGACGTAGAGTGGGAGTCTGATCGTGTTATGGCTGGTCTGCTCTGCCCTTTAATGACGAGCTCTAGTTCGGTGAAGTTTTCCAGGCGCTTCACGTCTTTGTCGTTTCGAAGGCGTGTGTTGGGAAGTTTCCTGCAAGAGAGGGGATTATTGGTACTCGTTTTCATGAAATTGAGAAAAAAATTTAATGATGTGGATACAAAAAATACTTATCTGTATTTTTAATCAGGGAATTAATAGTTTTACTTTTGATCTTTTACTCACTTTTTCCTTTTACTCTTTTTTTTTTTTTTTTTACTTTACTCATGTCTTCTTTATCCTAGGAGATGCCTAATTTCATCAGCTTCATGCTAAGTTAAATAGTGAAAGATGAATGACAGTAAACATATGGCAACAAATCTATTTCTCCTTTCTTTAGTCTTTTAATAATTTACACTGTCCTGCATATCCCTGAGAAAAAAATGGAAAGAAAATTAGCAAAAAGAAGCCGAAGAAAGAGAAGAGGAAGAGGACGAGAAAGAGGAAGGCAAAGAAGGAAGAGGGGGAGAAGTAGAAGAAGAAAAAAAGAGAAGAGACAGACAAGAAGAGAAGAAATGAGAAGAGAACAGACGAGAAGAGAAGAAATGAGAAGAGAACAGACAAGAAGAGAAGAGGTGAAAAGAAAAGAAGAAGAAGGAGAAACAGAAGAAGAAGAAGAGAGAAAAGAATATAAAGAAGATGGTACAAGAATAGTCTGAGTGCAATAATATATAACTAGAGCAACAAGTTGAAGTCAGCTGATGATGACTCCAATACCTGCCATACAATATAAGACACTATGAGATTATTAATATATTCTTTTACTTGAATTTAAGAATATCTGGATCACCTAACTTGCTCTGGATAATGTGGATAACTACCAACTTAACCAAGACAAATTCTTTGCACAATCATGTTTTCATCAATTTCCAACGAAAGAAGGGTGAAAGCCTGTTATACCAATTATATATCTCACAATATACTCCTTATTTCTCTCAAAATAAGCCATCATGGATGAGGTGCACATATCAAACTAGTCTGAAGGCTCAAAGTGCAACAGCATATCACGACTCAATCTCAATGTCAACCTGTTAAACGATATTGCGTATACCTTATTCTCTCCACCATCTGGGGATTAACAGCTAATTCCTTACAGCACACAGTGAGGAGGTGGCTGAAGTTCATGTGTGTAATGGGGAAGTCTATTTCGATGAAGTCTGGGTCATCCGTGTTGGCAACGCGAACCTTTAACACCAGTTCTGAGAAAAAAAGAAAAGGATGAAAAAGAAGAAGAAGAAAAAAGAAGGAAAACTGTGATGGTTGGTAAAAAAATGAAAAAGAAGAAGAAAAAAGGGTAACTCTCCTTCACTTTCACGAGCATAGTAAGAAAAGCAATCGTGAGTTTATGGTAAACCCAGGAAAATTCATAAACATTATAAACTGAAATGATGCTATTAATTCATGCAACAACAGCATTGTATAAAAATCCATTATCCTATGGTCAATAAAAGAAAGGAAGAAGGAAGAAGTAGTCAGAAGTCAGTATGGTACACATTCATAAACACAAACATATAAAAAAAAAAGACAGACAGATCAATCACCTTTAGGTTTATTCTGAGTTAATTCCAGTGCTGGTGAGGGACTCATGCCTGGACGAGGAACACAGCTAGATGTGGATGGGTTGTTGTTGGAAGGAAGGCTGCCCGTGCCAGGATACCCGTTGACCTCTGTAATCCCGTTGGTCAGTGGCTTCGAAGGTGGGCTGTTTGTGCTGTGGCTTGTCTGGTTGATTGGCGGGGGATGTGCCATGTAACTGGGCGTGATTGGGAGGGACTCAGAACTTGGGGCTGTTCTTCAGCTGGTTCGTGCTGTACGGTACCTATGAAGAGAAATGACAATTGTACTCACGGAAGGTCTATAAGAATAATATAATCTCTCCTCTCTCTATAATTGGATCTACATTTGTTGATAAACCTTACAGAAAATTGATAAGCAGCGCATCAAAAATACAGGAGTATGCGCATGTAAGCACACACACACCACACAACACACACACACACACACACACACACACACACACACACACACACACACACACACACACACACACACACACACACACACACCACCACACAAACACATCCAGAGCCTTCTAAAAAAAATATTCCAATGTACTGCATCACCAACCCAATAACTGCAGTATGTGTGGATTCGTTGCCAGCTGAGCAGGTGTCTGAGACTGGTTGTTGGTTAACTTAGGATCAGCTCCATTAGCCAGCAGCCACCTCACGGTTTCCAAATTCCCTCGCTTCGCAGCCCAGTGTAGTCCAGTCCTGGGAATAATGTTCTTCAGTGAGGTACACAGACATTACACTTGTGTGCACAGATGTGAAAAGCATAAAAATGTGAGTTAAAAATAGGAAACACTTGCTTTTATAGACTTTTTATTTTTATTATTATTTTCATATATGTGTTTCAACAGCAAGGCTAAAAATCATAAGGCATCTTCCCACAATACTGAATTCAGAGACATATTCAATAAACACAATTGAAAAGTATATGGAAACTGATCCAAAGCAGTCTTAAAAACTGACAGCCCAAACTGCAAAACATCAATAACTCAAAAAGGTTACAGGCAAATTTTGTAAATACACCATTGTTGTGCATTTTGGCTTTTGTCTAAAACCACATTTCAAAATGATACAGCTAAAATGAATGATAAAACCAGCATGGACATTAAAAAGTAATTGGAAACACTGATTACCATTTCATAAAATAATACGCACATAAAAAAGCTTCAAGATTAAAACCTTTGTAGGGAAAGAAGAGGACGAAGAAGACGGAGAGAAAGAAAGAAAGAAAGAGAAGAAGAAAAAGATGAAGAAGAAGAAAAGAAAGAAAGAAAGAAAGAAAAAAGAAAAAGAAAGAAAAAAAAGAAAGAATAATGCAGAGGATGACATTAAAACAAACAAACAAACAAACTCACCAGCCATTTATCTCATGTCTACTGTTGATGTTTGCACCTCTCGTAACCAGAGCAATGACCGCTTCGTTGTCGCCATAACAGCAGGCTTCCCGTAGCTTCTCCTCGTTCTGTTTCTGGGTGTCCATTCTGGCTAGTCACTGTTTGATGAAGAAAATTGTTGAGGGGAAGTATGCATAAAACAGAAAAACAGAAGTAAAACAACAAGTTAGATAATATGACTTACCTCTGATCTGTTTTATCCTCTCACATGCCTATCCTTGCCGTGACTGTACAGGAACATTTGAAGAACCCACACCATATTATCATAGAAAGTCTACTAACTCCTTCATAAATCCCGCCACAACAGCTTAGACAGGTTTTAGAGTAAGTCACAATGGGAGTCATACCTCTCTAGCACAAGGGGAGCATACACTTGGTCCTAATCCTATGACTCAGCATCTTTTTAAAACTCTCCCCTAACTCATTCTCTGTCTCTCTCTCTCTCTCTCTCTCTCTCTCTCTCTCTCTCTCTCTCTCTCTCTCTCTCTCTCTCTCTCTCTCTCTCTCTCTCTCTCTCTCTCTCTCTCTCTCTCTCTCTCTCTTTCACTCACTCACTCTTTCACACTCACTCACTCACTCTTTCACTCACTCACTCTTTCACTCACTCACTCACTCTTTCACTCACTCACTCTTTCACTCACTCACTCTTTCACTCACTCACTCTCACTCACTCACTCTTCACTCACTCTTTCACTCACTCACTCTTCACTCACTCACTCTTTTCACTCACTCACTCACTCTCTCTCTCTCACTCTCACTCTCTCTCTCTCACTCTCACTCTCTCTCTCTCACTCTCACTCTTTCCCTTTCTCTCTCCCTCTTACATATTCCGTTTTCTCAAGTCCTAAATATTACATAGACAGATTTTCAACATATTAACATCCAGCTACAGATTGTATATTCTGGAAGGTAAAAACTCTTATCAAATGATGGATAATCTTATTACCTATTTTGCTGAGGCTGACTCTCACTCCAAATGAGATAGGCCTTCATGTAGATAAGATATAAAAGCTAGAATCACATGGCTGTAAATTTCATCTTAGTTTAGGTGCTTCAGAAAATTCCTGAATGATTTTTTTTTTTGTATAGAAAGAGATAAATAAGGGAAAATGTTTATAATGAAAGTAGAGAGACAAATGAAGGCAACACCAGATGCACTAATGGACTAATGAAAACTTGGGATTGTCACATTCATTACTCAAACTTAAGTACTTATTGCCATAGATTTTATGGGTGAATATATCCATTATTTAATTGTATCTCTTATCTTAAAACATGTACTTAACATGGTTGGGGAGGACATAAAGTACACAAGGGAAATTAAAGGACAAGAATGCTGAAAATTATAAAAATCTAACATGAAAATGTATGCTACCTCTGTGCTCAGAATCAAAAGTTGAAAAAGAAAAGGAAGAGTAAGTTTGGTTATGTTTTATAACAGGACCACATCCCCTTGAAGCTAAATGCTAATTTTTCTGCCAATAAGTTTGTAGGCCCTCTGGCAATCCTCTTTTTCTGGGTGCAGGGAAAGGGTGAGGCAGAAATGTAGGCAAAATCACTATAAAAGGTGATTCAAAATTGAACTTTTTAAATATATCTTAAACATAAAGGATGTATAAAAATAAAACATATAAGACAGCACTCAGTCATAGAAGATTTTAACCAGGACTTTTTTGGAAACCTCATCCATTATCAACGAAAGACTGCATTACAATCTCCAATAAATTTATCAATGTAAAGTAGATTCTTTTCTAAAAGAGGGTATAGGTATGCAGCAGCAAGGAGAATGGTGCAAAACCTTTGATATCCTATGAGTCTGTGCAAAAATAACAAAAAAGTTATGTAACAGAAGAACTGTCAGATAAATGCATATATACTAGAAATGGATGTAACAAGTAATTCTAATAAAATTTGTATACACAAAATGATAAGCTAAAAATATGGAAGGGGATATACAAGTATTATGGTGTTTTGTGGCATAATATGCATGAAAAGTAGAGAACAAGCTGCTTAGAAGGACTGGTAGCACCACTTCTATTTAGTCTGATTCTTTTTTTAGAGTATTCTAATGATTGTTTATGGAATACTTATTTATCCCTTTCTTTTAAAATCTGGTATAAGTTATAATAACATAGAGTAAGTTGTACAAATAGATATCCATCTAGCTATATCTGATTTCTCCCAAGACACTCGCATCGGCTAAACATGATGACATCATTTAATTCTGCCCTAATTTTATTCTTGATAATCTATACAATGTATTATGAAATGTATTTTCTTGGTATATCTTCTTTGAAAATAGTTTGATAATAAAAATGGTAAAATAATACAGAAAAAAGTTTTTTTTTTTAAGATTTGATAAAATGGTGGGGCTTAGCTCTGCAGTTACCAAGTAGGGTTTTCATAGAGATGGAGTAGTGCTACCTATCTTTTAAGTACTTTGATTTGGGATATCAACATCTATATGAGGCAAGGCAATCTATACAGGGTCACCTTGCAAGAAAGTGGTTTGCTTTGAGGAGAGTTTAAAAAATATGTGGGAACTTAGGCCTACCTGCTATCTCTCTGATTATGGCTTTATCACTGCATTTTAACAGGTACTAATTGAACTATTAAATTATGCCCTTTGTGCAATATCTCATTTATATGCCATTATTCCTTACTACAGTATCAACTAAAACGCTTTCACAATACATAAAGACTAAAATATGTGTACAGTTTAGTGATGAAGGGTTCAAAAACACCAAATTATATCATTAGTTGGTGCTTTTATATATCACAATTACGAATCAGTAAAATTTACCCCCATATCATTACTTAATACATTATGGTTACCAATAGAATGGAATCACATATGAATATGTATTAACTAAATACATGAGAAAGAATGTACTTAATGTTGAATCAGAGATGTAGGGGCTCTCTAGATATATTCTAAAATCAGAGATAAATGTTTAAAAGTCCTGCCACATATCTTAATGAGGATATTGAAATACCTGTCTTGAACATGACTACATGGAAAGTAAAGGTCTCCACAGAAACCATATGGAAGAACAATAGTTAATCCTAGACAGATAACTAAAGAAACACAAACACAATAAAATAAATGCAGATTTTATGTATTGATTTAATGAAAAGGGGCAACCAAAACACGAAAAAACAAACGTGTTATGTTACAATGAATACATAATTCATAAAGCATACAGTCTTAAATAATAATCATTCTTGGCGATAGTGATCATGAATAACACACACCAAAAATAAATGAAAATGATGCGGATTTCGAAGACCGAAAACAGATATAATCATGGTAAAAAATTACTGTTCTAATATTGGTAACAAACAAAAAAGAACACAGGAAAAGCTTATATACATATATTTTAAGCATTCAAAACATTTCTGTTTACTTAAATTTAATCTGCCTCACCTTCTGCTAAGCAATGCTACGGCAATATGCTTAATCACGGGAAAATTAGAGTAATTCAACTAAAATTATCGCTATTTTAAAGCAAGAACTGTCACCAATTTGTAAACAATAACACCACTTGGCTGTTCTGAAATCCAACACATTTTTACTTTGGGATTAGCTCTTCTACAGATTTGTGATCTTTGTCTATACGCACTTAGAAATACAAGTTATGTATGACTATAGGTATACATAAAAAATGTATTGAAAAAAACATACCTTACGCATTAGAAAATACTACTTTTTCAAGATATGAAAATTTTAAAGCTGTCGTGAAACAGTGTTGGATGAGAAAGAGCTAGCAGACGTCGTGTAAACACTTCAGTTGCTAATTACATTTTCTTTCTTATTTTTATTTACCAAAAGATGCTACAAATAAATGATACATAAAGTTAATTTCCTTTATATGTTATAAGAAAAAGATGGCGATTCATTATTACATAAATATAATGACATTTGAAAAACTAAAAATACGAATATTGATATAAATGGCATTGATGGAAAAGGTCGATTTTTTTCTTCTCTTCTAATTCTAAACCCATATGCATTCTATGTCACATAACAATCACATAAAATGTGAAGGTCAGTATGGAAGTTAGAATATACATAGAATATAACGAATATCTATAAGAGCTTCATTCAGAGTTTTCCTTCTTGTCTTACGTTACCATGGTAACGTATGGAACACAAATACCAGCTGAGTTCAAAGCATTTTTCAGTATCAGAAGGTGAACAGCAACAATAAACATGTCATACAGAGAATTAAGAAGTGAGTATCACCATTGAGACTAACATTGGTTTTTAATAATAACAGAAATTATGGACGATATATAGAGGGTGACTTTCACATATGTACAGTGTGTTATATAAGCAAATTTGAGAAACTACTTAATTTCTCATTTGAAAGTTCTGCTAACATATGTGAATTGCAGAAGACTTTGAAATATGTTTGTCACTATACAGCAAAAGAGCAGAATGCTAAAAATACTTTTCTTTTATAAGAAAAAGCTAGCAAGATAGAGAAAGACAGACTGACAGACTGAGAAATGGATAGATGAAGGGATAGATAGATAGATAGATCCGGAATTATGTTTTTTATGAGGCTGTATATATCATATTTTTGTTACCTAAAGAAAATATACTGGGTAATTATACGTCTAATTTCATTGTAAATATACAATGGCAGTGATTAACCAAAAAGGAGAAGAAATAAATATTTCAACAAAATAAATGATAATGATAGTGATGCTGATGATAATGATAAAAATAACAGCAATAATAACAATGATATCTGTCACGATTGTAAGACTAAAAAATGCGATAAAAACAATGATAATGTTAATAATAATGGTAATATTAATGACAGCAACAGCGGCGATGATAATGCTGATAACGATGATTGATATATAATAAAAACGAAGATATACTCTGTTTACCAATATAGACTCCACACAGCGTAAACCAACTACCTTTACTATTTGTATTTGAAATCATAACTTTTGGTAAGTGACTTATTTTTTCTCCATTTTTCGATTTATTTTCTGAGGTCAAAATGTATGGCACAGTTATCCATCAAAAAACAAACAAACTTGCAAAGTGGGGATGAAGTATTAAAACGTATTGGTTGATAATGATAATGAAGATAATTAAGATGTCAGTTGTAATAGTGATAGTAATAGCTCTAATGGTTGTAATGCTATTAGTTATAAGGATGATATTAGTGATAATGTTAATAATTTTGATAGAATTAAAAATGGGAACGATGGAACGGTAACAGGATGTTAGTAACTGTAAGACTGATATAATATCAGTGACAAAGATAATGCTATTACTACTAATAATGATCATTATATTACTACTAATAGTGATAATGATATTACTACTACTAGTGATAATGATATTTACCGCTAATAATGATAATGATATTACTGCTAGTAATGATATTGACATTATTGCTAATAAGGATAATGATATTACTACTACTAATGATAATGTTATTACTATTACTGATGATAATGATATTACTACTCTAATGATAATGATATCACTTCTAATAATGATAATGACATTGCTACTACAAATGATAATGATATTACCACTGATAATGATAATGTTATTACTACGACTAATGATGATTATATCAGTAAGAAGGTAGTAACAGTAAGAAGATTATAACAGTTATAATTTTTAAAAATAAAACAAATAAAAAATAAGATATAATAAAACTAATAGAAATTCAATAATAATAACAAATGAATGAACAAACTGATAACCACCCATCTTTTCTCCCCCTTTATCATTCCCCCACTCTCCCCTCCACCACCTCCACTCTTATTCTTCTCCCCTCCCCCCTTCTAACCCTTCCACCATCCCTCTAACCCTTCCACCACCCCTTCTAACCCTTCCACCCCCTTCCCCCTCCACCACACCTTCCACCCCCTTCTAACCCCTCCACCCCCTTCAAACCCTTCCACCCCTTTTAACCCTCCTCCCCCTTCTGACCCCTCCACCACCCCTTCCACCTCCTCTTCTAACCCCTCCACCTCCACTTCCAACCTCTCCACCCCTTCTAACCCCTCCCCCACCCCTTTCCTCCCCTTCTGACCCCTCCACCACCCCTTCCACCCTCTCCATCCCCTTTCTAACCCCTCCACCTCCCCTTTCCTCCCCTTTCCACCCCTTCTGACCCCTTCCATCCCCTCTTTCCACGCCCTTCTAACCCCTCCCCCACCCCTTTCCTCCCCTTCTGACCCTCACCACCCCTTCCACCCTCTCCATCCCCTTCTAACCCTCCCCACCCCTTCCTCCCCCTTCTGACCTCCACCTCCCCTCAAACCCCTCCGTCACCCCTCCTCCCCTCCACCACCCCCTTCCACCCCCTTCTAACCCCTCCACCCCCTCTAACACCCAGACTGCGCGGAGATGCTGCGTTCCCTGGGCTTCCGGCGCCTCATCTCCGTCGAGAACTTCCGCAGCCCGAACTTCCCTTTGGTGTCGGAGATCCTGGTGTGGTTGGTCGGGCGGTTCGACCCCTCCGCCGACCTCCCGACCGACGTGGACACCGAGCAGGATCGGGTCATCTTCGTCCGGTCCGTGGCGCAGTTCATGGTGGGTCGGGTTCTTTTTTTTGTTGTTTAATTAATTAATTTATTTTATGAGGGGGTGGGCTAGGATTTTTTATTTTATTATTTATTTGTTTATTTATTTATTTTTGAGGGGGATGGGCTTTATTTTATTTATTTATTTGTTTATTTATTTATTTATTGAGGGGGATGGGCTGTAGATTTTTTTATTTCATTTTTTTTTGAGGGGATTTTGAGGGGCTGTAGATTTTTAATTTATTTTTTTATTATTTTTTTGAGGGGATGGGCTGTAGATTTTTATTTTATTTCATTTATTTATTTATTTATTTTTTGAGGGGGATGGGGGTGTAGGGAGGGTGGAGGGTGTAGGTGGGGGAGTGGAGGGTGTGAGTGTGGAGTTGTGTGTTGGGTGTGTGTGTGTGGTGTGTGTGTGTGTGTGTGTGTGTGTGTGTGTGTGTGTGTGTGTGTGTGTGTGTGGTGTGTGTGTGTGTGTGTGTTGTGTGTGTGTGTGTGTGTTATCTGGTGCAAGTTGTGAATGGATATCGCATCCACGTATTTTGAGTTTCCCGGTAATGTAAAATCCATTTGATTTACTGGGTGTATTCGTGTGGGAAAATTCGTGTATTCAAGTCATATATAACCCAATGCAAAAGACCAAAGATAAACAAACAAAACAAACAAACAAAAAATCGCAGTGATATTTCATACGTATATGAATGATTTTGACGAGGAGAAAAAAAGGGCAAAAATATTCTTTGTATCTAAATTTATATTAAAAAGAACATGTATCAAAAGTCAAAATCAAAATATCTCTTTCAAAAAATCAAAGTTTGAGATTTAAAGACATCAACATCAAAAATATAACAGTTAAAAGTTGGAAAATATTACAGTCGAAATTAAACATTGAAGAAAACCCCCCTAGCCCCCTGGGGTTAATGGGAGGCTCGGGGGAGGTGGGCCTTGCCAGTCCTCCTCCCCCCAGATATAACCAATCGCAGTGCAAACTATAAATGGAGAGGCTGGGAGGAGGGGGAAAGCCCCTCCACCAGCTAGTGAGGCGGACCTGTGGGCCCTGCTTGGGAGGGCGACTGCTGGGAGCGCAGGCTGGGAACGGGAACTACCCGTCTCGCCTGCGCTCTGGTGGCCGCCAGCCCAGAGTGAAGCTTGTGGGGAAAGCCCTCGGGAACCCCACAGGTGGATGATGGGGCACGCAGCCCGCCACCCCCTTTTATATGGGGCAGCGTCGGTGGGGGTGGCAGAGGTGCATCCACCCGGAGCGACTGCCAGGCTGAACCTCAGGCGGGAAGTTAGGGTGGGGCTTGGAACGTCCGTTCTTTTGCGTCAGGATGATCGGTTGCCTCTACTGTCGAGGGAACTGGGGAGGCTCAGTTGGGTGCTGCTCTCTCGGAGGGAGGAGGCTGGCGCGGCATGACCTGTGCAACCTGGCTACACCTACTACTTGGTCGGCCCCTCTATGATCGGGCCACCATCTCCAGGAGTAGCCATTGCCGTCTCCAGCAGACTCCAGCCCCCCGGTAGAGGTTAACTCTGTTGATGAGCGAATATAATGGTATTGAGATTGAAGCTTTCTTTTGGCTTCATGTCTCTTATTGCTGGTGTACGCTCCTACCGATGTTTGAACTTGACGTGAAGAGATGTTCTACGCCAAACTTACATCTGTGGCAGACAGATGTCCTCGACGAGATATTCGCATTGTTCTGGGCGACTTCAATGCGGTATCTGGCTGTGATCGAGCTGGCTATGAGATGTCTGTCGGTCCCCATGGTTCAGGAGCTGATAGCGGTAGCGAGAATAGCCTCCTTTTCCGGGACTTTGCAAAGATCCCAGAAATTGAGGATTTCTGGCTCCTGGTACCAGCGCCCAGACCCACATCGCTGGACATGGTACAGTGATGCGGGTAACGCAGCCAAGGAGATCGACCACATACTTGTTAGCACTCGTTGGAGGATCCTTCAGAATTGCAGGGTGTTCAGGAGTGCTGAGTTCTGTGGTACTGACCATAGATTGGTTGTGGCTACCCTCCGGGTCCACTTCAAAACCCCCAGCGGTCAAATGATCACCCTAGGGTGTTTCATTTGGACAGGCTGAGAGGAGGGGGAGTGTGCCCGCAGGTTTGCTGAGGCAATCTCTGATCGTTTCGCAGTGCTTGGCAGTCTGACAGACCCTGTTCTTCTGTGGGATACCTTTAAGCGTGAAACGCTTGATACAGCTCAAGATACGATTGGTGTACGCCCGAGAGCAGTACAGAATTCCATCTCGCGGGAGACACTGGAAGCCACTGATGCATGTCGTGCGGCTCGTCTGACAGGGGATCGGGAATTGCACCGTTCTCATGTGCGCAGAACTCGGTCCCTGTTAAGAAGGGGACAAGGAACAGTTTATTAGGAGTCTTGCAGAGGAGGTAGAAGGCCATTTCTTAGTAAATGACCTTCGTCCTGCATACCAAGCCCTGAGAAAGCTGAACTCCAACCCCTCTTCACAGGTGACAGCAGTTCGCTCAGTAAGTGGTCAGATCGTTTCAGATCCTGTTGCGGTGCGGGGACGTTGGGCTGAGTTTTTGAGCAGCTGTACCAGGTTGACCCACCAACAGTTTAACTTGGATGCGGGTAGTGTCGAGATCCCGCTGCCGAATCCACCTATCAGTGAGGACCCTCCCTCCCTAACTGAAGTTAGGGGGGCGATTTCCAAGCTGAAGAGTGGTAAAGCAGCTGGTATCTGCGGCATACCAGCTGAACTGTTTAAAGGCTGGTGGTGAACCTATGGCACGGGGGTTACATGCTGTCCTGGCTGCCATCTGGCAGTCCGGTTCCATTCCTCCTGACCTGTTGAGGGGTGTGGTCATCCCTCTCTGGAAGGGGAAGGGGGACCGTTGGGACTGCAGCAATCACCGAGGCATCACACTGCTCAGTGTACCAGGCAAGGTTCTTGCCCACATCCTTCTGAGACGTATCAGAGACCATCTACTGAGGCACCAGAGACTGGAGCAATCCGGATTCACTCCTGGTAAGTCCACAATAGACCGTATCCTCGCGCTTCGAGTCATTGTAGAGCGCCGTCGTGAGTTCGGGCGTGGGCTGCTTGCAGCCTACATCGATCTCAAGAAGGCGTTCGATACGGTGCATCGGGAGTCACTTTGGGAGATCCTGAGGCTGAGAGGAATACCAACAAGGATTATTGGACTAATAGCAAGCCTGTATACTGGTACTGAAAGTGCTGTAAAGTGTGGTGGGGGCCTGTCGAGCTTCTTTCCTGTTAGTTCAGGAGTGAGGCAAGGCTGTGTCCTTGCACACAACTCTTTTCAACACTTGCATGGACTGGATACTGGGCAGAGCTACTGTTCAAAGTCATTGTGGGGCAACGCTGGGCAATATCAAGGTTACAGACCTTGACTTTGCTGATGACGTTGCCATTCTATCTGAGTCTTTGGAAACCCTAGTGGCGGCTCTCGATGCATTTAGCAATGAAGCGAAGCCCTGGGTCTAGAGGTCTCCTGGACCAAGACCAAGGTCCAGGAATTTGGGGACTTGTTAGGAGAACCTGTTCAGTCGGTACGTGCTTGCGGCGAGGACATTGAAGTCACAGAGAGCTTTACATACCTTGGTAGTGTAGTTCATAACTCTGGGCTGTCAGACCATGAAGTCAGCAGACGGATTGGCCTGGCAGCAGGGGTCATGAACTCTCTCAACAAGAGTATTTGAGATGTCGGTACCTGTGCAGAAGGACCAAGCTACGGGTTTTCAAGGCCTTGATAATGCCAGTTTTGCTATACGGTAGCGAAACCTGGACATTGTCCCTGTGCCTTGGAGGCTCGTCTTGAAGCCTTTTGTAATAGGTCCTTGCGCCAGATCATGGGGTACTGTTGGCGGGACCATGTGTCCAACCAACGGTTGCACCGTGAGACTGGCACAAGCCCTGTTATCTGCACAATCCGTGATCGCCAACTCAGGCTATATGGCCACCTGGCTCGCTTCCTCAGGATGATCCTGCCCATCAGGTCGTCTCTATTCGAGACAACCCTGGATGGAGGAGGCCTGTGGGACGACCGAGGAAGTCATGGCTTGGGCAGATCGACCAAACCTGCCGTGAAGAACTAGAGATGGGCCGAGTCCCTGCCTGGCGTCTAGCCATGAGGGATCCTCGTAGGTGGAAGCGAAGGGTGGATGCGGCTATGCGCCCCGTCGGCGTCAGCCCCCATGATGATGATGATGATCTTTCTCTCTCTCTCTCTCTCTCTCTCTCTCTCTCTCTCTCTCTCTCTCTCTCTCTCTCTCTCTCTCTATATATATATATATATATATATATATATGTATATATATGTATATATAAAGAAAAAAGTGCAATCATTAACCTCCTCTCTCCCTCCCAGGTCAAAAAAAAAAAAAAAAAAATATATATATATATATATATATATATATATATAATAAAAATAAAAATAAATACTATTTTTTCTTAATACCCCTCCCCCTTCAATTTTCTTTTCATAACCACCCCTCCCCCGCCAAAAAAAAAAAAAAATACAACCATCTAACCAACCACCCCCTCTCCCCCCCCCACCTTCAGGCAGCGAAGGCCCACGTCCGCCTCAACACCAAGAAACTCTACCAGAGCGACGGGTACGCCGTGCAAGAGATCCTGAAGGCGCTGACGCTGCTGTACGACGCCATCCAGAGCAACGCCCAGAGCCGGAGGGACTTCGACGACCCGACGGAGACCACGCTCAACTTCGACGTCTCGAATAAGGTTAGGAAGGGGGTTGGAGGAGAGGGGGGGGTTGGGGGTGGGTTGGATGAGGGGGTGGAGGGGGAGAGCCAGAGGGACTTTGACGACCCCACGGAGACCACGCTCAACTTCGACGTCTCGATAAGGTTAGGAGGGGGTTGAAGAAGGGGGGTGGGGTTGGAGGGGTTCTAAGGGGATGGTTAGTGGGAGGGGAATTGGAATCGAGGGGTTGGATAAGGGGGAGGGGGTTGGGTGAGGGTGGGAAGAGGGGGTTGGAACCACGCTCAATTTGACGTTTCGAATAAGGTTAGGAGGGGTTGGTGGGTTGGGGATTTGGGGTTGGGGTTGGAGGGGGGTGAGGGGGGGGGGGGGTGCGGGTGGAGGTTTGGATGAGAGGGTGGAGGGGGAGAGCCAGAGGATTGGACGACCCGACGGAGACCACGCTCAACTTCGACGTCTCGAGGGGTGGAGGGTGGGGGTGGGGTGGGGGTTTGTAAGGGGAAGGGGTTGGGTGAGGTTGGAGGTGGAGGGGGTGGAAGGTTGGGGGGATTGGAGGGGTGGGGGGGGTGAGGGGGTGGAGGGGGAGAGCGGAGGGACTTGGACGCCGACGGAGACCACGCTCAACTTCGACGTCTCGAATAAGGTTAGGAGGGGGTTGGGAAGGAGGAGGGGTGGGGGTTTGGGGAGGGGTTGGGGTGGGGTTGGGGGGTTGTAAGGGAGGGGGGTTGGGTGAGGGGGTTGGGTGAGGGGTGGGGTGACGTTCTAATAAGGTTACGAATAGTGGAGGTTGGGGTCGGAGGGGTTTGGGGTGGGGTGGGGTTGGGGAGGGGTTGTAAGGGGGAGGGGGTTGGGGTGATGGGGGTGGGAGGATTGTGAAGGGGGGTTGGGGTTGGGGAGATGGAGAGGAGGGGGTTGGGGTTGGGTGAGGGGGAAAGGGGGAAGGGTTTGGAACCACGCTCAATTTCGACGTTTCGAATAATTAGGAATGGGGGGGTTGGGGGGGGGGATAGGGGGAGGGTGGAGGTGGGTGGGTTGGATGAGAGTGGAGGGGGAGAGCCAGAGGGGGACGAGAGGGGTCGACGGGGTTAGGAGGGGGGGAGGAGGGGTGGAGGGGTTTGTAAGGGGGGGGTTTGGGTGAGGGGTTGGAGGTTGGAGGGGTGAGGGTGGATGGATTGGAGGGTGGGGTTGGGGAGGGGTGAGGGAGAGGGGGGTGAGGGGGGGGGGAGGAGGGGTTAGGAGGGGTGGGGGTTGGGGAGGTTGTGGGAGGGGGTTGGGGAGGGGGGTTTGTGGGGTTACGAATAGTGGAGGTTGGGGTCAAGGGGGGTTGGGGTTGGGGAGATGTTGGGGTTGGGTGAGGGGGAAAGGGAAGGGGTTTGGGCTCAATTTGTTTCTAATATGGTTAGGAATGGAGGGGGTGGGGGTGGGGGGGGGGGGTTAGATGGAGGGGGAGGGTTTGGAGAGAGGGGGTGAGGGGTTGAAGGGGAAGGGAGGGTGATGGAAAGGTTTGTGAAGGTGAGGTGGGGTTGGAGTATGAGTTGGGGTTACGTTATGGAGTGGGGGTGGAGAAGGAGGGTTTGAGAGGGGGTTAGGGATGGAGAAGGGAGATGGGGTTACGTGGTGATTGTGAAGGTGGGGTTGGGGTGGGGAGGGGGGTTGATGGGGTTATGTGGGGGTTGTCAAGGTGGGGTTGTGGGTGAAGAGGGATGGTTGTGGGGTTGAGAGTGTGGGTTGTGAAGGTGGGGTTATAGGAGTTTTGGGTGGAGAGGGAGGGTTGTGGAGAAGGGGGGTTGTGGGGCATGGGGTTGTGAACCGTGAGGATAAGTCATGATTGTTATATTTTTAAGGATTAAGTTTCTGAAATCATAAGGTTATGAGGTCCTGAAGTGATAGGATCGTATGATGAGGTTGTGAAGTTGTGAGGTTGAGATTTATAATGTTATGAGATCGCAAGGCTTGTGAATTGTGAGGTTAAGCTGTCGTGAGATGGGAGAATGGGGTTAATGAGGCAGTGAAGTTTTAATTCCTTAAATTTTATTATTATCATTATTTTGATTATTGTAATTATGATGATTATTATTATTAGTGTTATTATCATCATCATTATTACATTATCATTATTATTTTTATCATTATATTCATTGTAATGATGATAATAATATCCGGGACCTTGGGATAATTTCTGGGGAGAGTCTGTGTGTGTGTGTGTGTGTGTGTGTGTGTGTGTGTGTGTGTGTGTGTGTGTGTGTGTGTGTGTGTGTGTGTGTGTGTGTGTGTGTGTGTGTGTGTGTGTGTGTGTGTGTGTGTGTGTGTGTGTGTGTGTGTGTGTGTGTGTGTGTGTGTGTGTGTGTGTGTGTGTGTGTGTGTGTGTGTGTGTGTGTGTGTGTGTGTGTGTGTGTGTGTGTGTGTGTGTGTGTGTGTGTGTGTGTGTGTGTGTGTGTGTGTGTGTGTGTGTGTGTGTGTGTGTGGTGTGTGTTGTGTGTGTGTGTGTGTGTGTGTGTGTGTGTGTTAAGGATTACATGATATGAGGTAAGTCTCTGATTTATGAGAGTATGAGGTCGAGAGGTGAGGTGATGGGGTTGCCAGCTTCAGAATAACAGGAAATATTTTTTAATCTATTTTTTTTCGTATCATTAATTTGTTTATTTATTTGCGGTACGAGAGCGAGTAGACAATATATTTTAACACGATATAAAATACGACGAGGAAAAAATTACATAAAGATCTGAAGTAGAGAAAAAAGTTTATTTCAAGATTT